CCCCATGCCCAGCCAGCCCCCTACCAGGCTTACCAGTCTCTGGATCATAGAAGTCCCCGTCATTGAGCAGGACTCTGTCGAAGGGCACTGTGCCTGGTTCAGACCTGGGCAAACTCAGAGCAGCGGAAAAGGCCACCCGGGGCACAGAGGCTGCTGGTGCCCCCTCCACTCCTGGGTGGGGGTAGAGTGGGTGTCAGAGTAGATGCTCAGGGCAGAGCTGCCCAGCCCCCTTTGGCTCTGGAGTCTCTACCCCCAGGGCTGCCTGAGGCCTTCCATCCTCCAACCCCTAGTTCAGTTCTCCTCCCTGCAACATCAAATGAGAACTTACCCTGTTCACCCTGGGGACCTGTAAGAGGAGGAAAGAGAACAATGAGAGAGCAGCTCTCTCTAAGTCATTCAGCACACATCTGCTGAGTCTGTCCAGCTGTGCTAGGTGCTGTACAGACTTCGAAGCAGGAATGGGGTACCAAGAAAAGGAAGAACAGGTCCACACTATTCACCTGCTGGGCCTATGCCCTTAGCCCCCAGTCTTTCACACCCTACACAACCCTTGTAGGCTTAGCCTTGGTCTTCAATACAGCAGTGAGGCCATCATAGCCAATTAGCTAACACAGTGACTGTCCCAGCTCCTAGTCCCTTTCCAAATCACTATCAGCCATCTAGGACCCCCAATTCCTCACCCCTTCCCCCGTCCCTATCAAGTTCAGAAAGGAATGTCAAGCCTGGGGCTGCCTAGAAGGGTGGTAACCCTGTGCAGCAAGAATCTCAGCCCACATACCTGGTGGCCCAATGGGCCCCTTTTGTCCATCCTTGCCGGGAGATCCTGGAGGCCCAGCAGGGCCTGGGGGTCCCTGTACTCCAGGAGGCCCTGGGGGCCCAGCCTCACCTGCAGGCCCTACAGTGACAGAAGTTTGTTGAAGGAGAACCATAAAAGGAGTTTCCAAAGGACAAAGGTGATGGCTCCATAGACAGGTTGATGGGATCCCTCGCTGCCTGGCTGGCTGAGGAGCACCCCACCTCTACCCACAGCCCTGTTTGAGCTACCAGGGGAGGGCAGGAAGCTGGGATCTTGGATCATCTCTTGTGGATAAACCAACCCTTGGGACAGTGATGGGTCTGCAATTCATGCTGGGCAGAGCAAGGAAAAATTAAATGAGGTTAGGCTGGGCTGTTGTGCGAGAGGGAGAAAGGACTTGAAAGGGGTTCCCCCCACACCCCACCACCCCAGGCCTCCTCTTGCCCCCTCACCAGTGAGGTCCTTCAGGCTAAGCTGGTGAAACCGATCTTCCAGGAGCTGCAGTGAGCTGTTCAGGGCACTGAGCCGCCTTCCCAGGCCAGCTTGCCCCCCCAGCAGCTTCTCTAACAGGGCTGCCTGTGTCTGGCTGGTGCTGTTGGTTTCCCGTAATCCAGCCCAGAGCCCAGCCACATGTCTGGAAAGGCCCTCGCGTAGGCCCTGCAGTCCCCCGGCCACAGTGTCCAACCGCTCACAGACTCCCTCCAGACGGCCCAATCGCCCCTCTAGGCTGGGGCACTGGCCAGCCTGTGCCTGTCCCTCCTCCAGGCCTCGGAAACGCTCCTCACTCTCCATAACGTGTTCTGTGGCTTCCTGCTGCAGCCTGTTAATCTCAGAGATGATGCGATCCTTGGTGGCTCCCAGGTCAGCCAGATCAGCGCCCTGGCCCTCCACAGTGGTCTGGAGCTCATGCAATGAGTCATTGAGGGAGCTGAAGGTGAGAATAACTTCGGAAAGCTCTCCTTGCAGGGCCTGTAGAGCTGAGCCTGAGCTGCCCCCGAACACGCTGAAGCCATCCAGAGGCCCACGGCTTGGTCCCCCAACACCGGGGCCAGCCCCAGGGCCCCGTGGAGGTAGCAGGGGGCAGGAGCAGCGCTCCACACCATCCCGAAGGCGACCCAGTTCCTCCTGGACACCACCACAGGCCCCACAGCCCTCATCCCCACGGGCCTGCAGCAGACCCTCTAGTTGGCCCAGCCGTGCAGCTGTGAGATTCAGCTGAAGTGTGAACTCTGCAGCTGTCTCATCCTGAGCATCGACACGACCCTTGAGCTGGCTTATGACCCCCTGAAGTCCTTCCAGGGTGGCCTGCCGGGCCTCCCCAGCTGCTCCCACCTTGTGCAGGCCGGAGATCACCAGCCGCAACTGCCCCTCATTGTCTAGCATCCTGCGCTCCAAGGCACTGAGGGTCTCGCTGACCTGGGAGTCCTTCTCCCCCAGGGCCCCAGAGCAGAGCTGCCCACATGCCTGCACAGCCCCTGCCACTTGCTCTTCCAGCAGGTCCAGACGCCCACCCAGCTCCCCACTCACATTGGCTAGCAGCCCCTCCAGCTTCTCTAGTCGGCCCCGGGCAGCAGGTAACCAGTGGCTCAGTCCCCCAGGATGCCCAGGCCAGCCCTCCTGTTCCTGCGAGGGACCCAGGGTAGAGTTGAATCGGTCCTCCAGGCGGGAGAGGCGGGATGCTAAGCTGGTGTAGCCTGGGGGATGGCCCCCCTGCCCGGCTGCACCTTCCAGCTCGGTGCCTCTCCGCCCACTCAGCACTGTCACTGAACCAGCCACGACCTCTAGCCTCCGCTCCAGCTCTGCCAGTCGCCGTCCCAGCTCTGGAGGGCAGCATTCCTGAGGGGGCCTGCGGCCCACAGCCTGCCCTGCGAGCTGCCGCTGCCGCTCCTCCAGTAGCTTCTCCAGTCTTCGCAGCCGCTCCCTGTCCTCCTGCTGCTGCCTGCGGAAGCCATCTAGCCCCGCCAGGCACACAGAGCAGGACTCCTGCAGCCGCTGCTCCAGCTCCCGCAGCAGCTCCTCGTTGTAGCCAGGAGACGCTGGGGCTGGGTCCAGGGCTCTGCCACCACTGCCACCACCGCCACCACCACCGCTGTGATGGTTGTTGAGATGGCCCAGCTCCTGGTCGTGGGTGGAGACACGCTTATCCAGTTGCTGCAGCTGCTGCTGGATTTCGCTGAGGGTTTCGTGTACACCAGGGCGGGCGGCTGCATCTGCTGGCTGCTGCCTCCCGTTAAAGGCCGTCTCCACAGCCTTCTGGACATCTTCCACCAGGCGCCCACTCAGTCCCTGCAGGACACCCCGAAGGCCCTGCAACTCCTTTTTCAGGCTCTGTACCTGCTCCTCCAGCTGCTGCACCTTCTCTGACTCCCCAGGACCTGGCAGAGAGGGGAAGACATAAGGCATAGGGGCCGGACCTCAGTGCTCAGTGACTATTTCCAGGTCCCCAGCTCCAACATGAGGTCAGAGGTCCTAGCTGATTTGACCATGGCTTAGCTGGGTGATTTGGGCGAGAAAAGACAAAAGGAAACTCATTCACTAAATGCCTCAAGGCCAGATCTTTTCCCTTACAGCTCCATTGGGCAGCTATGGTTAGCTCTTCCCATTTTGTAGAGTAGGAAACAGAGGGTCAGAGAGCTTAAGCAACTGGGGCATGGGTTACAAACTAAGTAAGTGGCAGTCAAGTTTCAAACCCAGGTCCTCTGTCTGCCCACCAAGCCCATGTCCTTTTCACTGTCCAGAGGGCCTCTTAACTTTATGGAAACTTTCCTCATCTGTGAAATAGGTCTGACACTACGTCACTCCCTCAGGGCAAGGGAAATGGGAATGTGAAAGGCACTGTGGTCTGCCAGACAGCGCTATTCCTGGGCAGCACCTCTCCTCAACACCACAGGGGACAAATGCGGTTCTGCGGCAAGCCTGTGGGGGCTCCAGCTGGCTGGGGGAGGGTCAGCCAGAAGTTCCTGTTTCCATAATTACAACATGGCTTTCTCCCTGGCAGGCAGACGCTCCACATCCGCTGTGCCCAGCGCTCTCGGAAGGCAACAGAGACTGCTGCATTCTGGGACCTGCAGTCTCCAGAGGCCACGGAGGGGCCTGGGACCTGTAGTCAGTCGCAGTGCATGCTAGGACTTGTAGTCTCAACCGGCTGTCCCCCTGGACCAAGCTTCTGAAGGAATTCCCCCTTCTTCCCACAGCTGTTCCCAACTAGGAAGTGTCCTGGCCACATGTGGGTGTGCGCAAGCTCATTCACTTTCTCTGCCTCCTTTCCCTCTGGTCCCTCTCAATCTCTCCATCTCTGTCTGGTACACACACACACACACACACACGCATGCACACACACACGCATGCACACACGCGCACACGCGCGCGCGCGNACACACACACACACACGCATGCACACACACACGCATGCACACACGCGCACGCACACGCGCGCGCANGGCTTTCTCCCTGGCAGGCAGACGCTCCACATCCGCTGTGCCCAGCGCTCTCGGAAGGCAACAGAGACTGCTGCATTCTGGGACCTGCAGTCTCCAGAGGCCACGGAGGGGCCTGGGACCTGTAGTCAGTCGCAGTGCATGCTAGGACTTGTAGTCTCAACCGGCGGTCCCCCTGGACCAAGCTTCTGAAGGAATTCCCCCTTCTTCCCACAGCTGTTCCCAACTAGGAAGTGTCCTGGCCACATGTGGGTGTGCGCAAGCTCATTCACTTTCTCTGCCTCCTTTCCCTCTGGTCCCTCTCAATCTCTCCATCTCTGTCTGGTACACACACACACACACACACACGCATGCACACACACACGCATGCACACACGCGCACACGCGCGCGCGCGCACGTGCACTCGCACACGTGCACTCACATGGACGGGGACTCTCAGGGATCTCATTAACTCTTTTCCATCCCTTTTTTCTGACTTGGAACATGGGGCTTTCCCTCAGCAGCCTGGCCCCACATTTTCCGCCCAGCACCGTCTCCCACTATCCTCTCCAGGGCTCCCATACTCACCTTCGCCCCCTAGTCCACTCAGGTGGCTTCCTGCACTGGAGCCGGAGAGGTTGGGGCGGCCAGGCTGGGGTCGAGGGTGTGGTGTGGTAGGTGCAGAACCCAGCCCTGGGGCCGGACTCTCAGCACAGTCATCACCCCCGTACCCCTGGCAGCACCTCCACTCCATATCTGTCACTGTTTTGTAGGCCACGCGGTAGCGAGGACGGAGGAAGCTGCGGTACCTGGGAGAGGTGGAGGGAGGGCTTTATCCTCCCGTACCATGGCCCCTGTCCTCAGAGATGGGCAGCCGCTGGTGAGCAAGGCCTGTCCCTCAGGCTGGGTCCCCCTTACCATTCAGCATGTGGCCTTGCTCAGCTGACAGCTGTCAGCTAGCTTTTTGGCCAAGGGCCAAATCGCTGTCTTCCTGCCCTTGTCCTGTGCTGGAACCCTGAACTCTTCTCCTTGAGCACGGCCCAGCTCAGAGGAGGCATTTGGGGGCTGGCAGAGTGGTCTAGTTAAGTGTGTCCTAAGTATCCCACCAGCCAAGCTGTTGCCTCAGCATCTCCTCAAAATGGCTCTGACTAAAGCCCCTGGTCCTGCCCCTTGCTCCCTGCTTTGTATAGATTCCCTAAGCTGGCCACCCGCCTGCTGTCCTAGCCCAGCCCCCACCAGGTACCCATTCCCCAGTGCTGGGGCTCACATGAGGATGCTGCGGGGACACTGGGGCTGGCCCCAGCCACAGGGCTGGTAGTCGGGCTTGATGAAGGTCTCCACTCCATCCTCAAGGACACAGCTCACTGTCCGAGTCACCACATAGGCACACCAGTTCCTGCAGGCACAACCCCACCTAGGCCCAAGAGCCAGGAACACCTCCCCTGCCCCCCCAGAGGAGGGCCCAGGGGCTACCAGAGGGGCTAAGGGAGGGTAAAAGGATGAAGAGCCCCTGGGGACCAGTGGGAGCAGCGCTTTGGCAGGGGCAGCTCCCCCACGCCTTCCTGTATGGCCAGAGTCGATAAAGACTTTTCAAGACAGGAGAGGAGGCACAGAATGGAAAACCACAACTATGAGAAGTCGATCCTCATGGCTGGGGAGGGGGGTCCTGGGGAGCCTCTGGATTCACCCATTCATTCGTGTCCCTTTTCTGTCTCAGTCTCCCGCTTGGCTTGGCCTGTGTGAGCCGGCTGGATGGGGCCCTCTGGTGATTCCCTGGATGCTGGCTTCCACCCACCCCTCAGGGGAGAGGACCAGGCAGGCAGGGTTAAGCAGAGAATAAGCCATTGATGAGCCCTGTCCCCCATGGGGTTTGCTGGCCTCTGATCTGTGTCTGGCTGGAGAGCCGAAAGGAGTAGAGCAAAAATGGTGTCAGAGTCATGGGTTTCTGGATGGGCCTAGGAAGCCCTAGAGAGTGATGAAAGGTCTCCGGAGGATCCCAGGCTGGTGCGCAGCTGGCAGGGGGGCCTGGCCCATGCCCCTCAGGGTAGTCTCCCTGGACACCTAACCACAGATCCCATGGGGAGGGTGCAGGAGCTGATCCCCCTGAGGTTAGACAAGGAGACCTATCTATTCAGGGGAGGCCTGGAAACGCCCAACAGGAAGGTGGGTACATGAGGAGTCATCTGATGGATGGGCTTCCTCTCCCCCTCTTCCCTACATTGGGGAGACAGCCCAGGAGAGGGTAGCCAAAGTAGGGGCTGGGACACCACCCACCATCTGACCCACCCTCCCACCTACCTTCAGCCTTGGACTGGGGACCCTCTTCACCAGACACTTACCTGTGGCGGCTGGCAGGCCGAGGGCCGCTCTGGGCCTGGGGTCCCCCAGGGCTGAGGGCCCCACCGGTCCCCCTGTAGAGGCTGTAACCGCGAGGAGGGTAGCTAGCTGCCCCCACAGCTGTGGTCAGTAGGCAACAGAGGTAGCAGCTCCAGAGGGTCCTTGGGGCCATGGTGGGGGCACTTCGCCGTGGCCCTCAGAGGCACATCCCGCCTGACTACTGGCGCCTCTGCCTGTAGTGGGGATGCCCGCTGCTCGGAGCGTCGGGTCCTGTCCCCAGCTTCCTGCCGGCAGCCCCCAGCCACACGCCTCCTCCTTGGCCTCCTGGCCTGACCCCTCTCCCCCTCCTCTTTCCTCCTCAGGCTCTCGTCTGTCCCTCCCTCGGTTCCTTCCTCTCTCCTCTTCTCCACCTCTGAGGGGAGTTTGTTCTCGGTGCCCCCCTGGCCTCCTGCGCCTCGTCCCTGCCCCGCTCGGATGCTGCTTCCTGGGCCCCCGCCCCCTCACCCCAGCTGGCCCTCTTCTGGCCTCCTTAACCGTTTTCCCCAATGACCAGATCCTGGGGGGTGACAGGACTTTACCCCTGTGGCTGTTCAGAGGCGCAAGAGTGGCTGTGTGGGGCGGGCCCTGGCCTCCTGCCTCCCTCTCTTGCTCACTCCCCTCCCTTCCCCCCTGTCTGGCTGGCGGTCCAGCCTCCCCCTTCCTCCCCCCACCTCTCCAACCATCGTGCGCCACATCTGCTTCTTGTTAACTCCGGGAAAGAGAGGGAAAAAAAGGAAAAACAGAAATGTGGAGTTGCCGCAGGCTTGGGGCCAACCTCTCAGACGGGCCACATGGAGTGAAGCCGGGGCCAGGGCTGGGGAGGAGGCCCAGGGCTGGCTGCTTAGCTGGGGAACAGGAGCTGGAGCCACAGCTCTCCTAGGGCTAGGGCAGGCCTTCCCTGGGAGGAAAGACCTGAGAGAGCGACCCAGAGGCCAGAGGAAGAGGAAAGGACTGTAAAGGGAGAAGAGCTTGGAGAGCTCAGCAGGATATCACTCACTGTCCAGCCCAGTTCTCTCCTTTCATAGATGTGAAAATTGAGGCCCAGAGAGGGCAAGTAACTTGTCCAAGGTAACACAGCGAATCAGAGCTGACATTAAAATCTAAATACCCAGGTCAGTGACTCGGGAGAAAAAAGGGCAATAGGAGAGAGGGCCGCTGGGCCACAGAGAAGGAAAAGGACTCCACTGAGGCAGCAGGAAATTCAGAGAAGCCAAAGAGGAAGAAAGGAATCTGGAAAAAGAAAGGAATTAGAGAGGAAGAAAGGAATCTGGTGGGGGTAGGGGTGGGGTACTTGACTTCTGTCAAGCACAGAGTACTTGGGCAAGAGAGGACTCTCATTCTAAAAAGGCTGAATGAATATAGGCCCAACTTGTCTTGGTGAGGGTCAGGACATTAGTAGGGGAGGGGAGGTAGATAAATTGGGTTCTATCTGCATAGCAAAGGAAGTCACTCCCTAGCCTGGAGGGCGAGTCTGATAGCCTCTGTAGCAGGCGAGGAACTCAGTCAGACTCAACTGTCAGCTCCTCCTGAGATGTTTGAGCTGTCAGCTGGCCCCCTCTTCATCAGATGGCCCCTCTCCACCACCTGGCCCTCAGTGCTGTGTCCTGGACTAGGTCTCCCTGTGGGAAGGGACACTTGGGAGAGCTAAGAGGAAGTACTAGAAGACGGTGCTGGGTGCTGAGCACTGTGGAGGCGCCCAGGTGCAAAGGCATATACGTATAAGACTAGCAAGGAGCAGCTGGGCTACTGGGGAATGGGACATAAGCTCCAAAACAGAAACTAACAAGGCAGGACGGACAGAGTGCCAAGGGGGACAGACAAATGGAGGAGGCGTATTTTGGGTAAGAGAAGCGGAAAGACAGCTGGCTGCTGGGGAGTCAGAGAGGAGCTGTTGGAAGAGATAGAGAGGTTTCGGGTTGGGAAAAGCCTTCCTCAGTTTCCTCATCTGTAACATGGGAATAATAATAGTACCCTCCTTCCTAAGTCTGTGAGGGTTAATACATGTAAAGGGTTTGGAATAGTCCATGGCAGGCACGTGGTAAATGCTCAGTACAAGTTAGCTCTTATTTGTGTCAAGAAAATCAGAGAAGTCGATTGTGGAAAAATGAGAGAGAGACTCAGATGACTGGTTAAGGATTACAAGGTTTTGGGTAGGGGTAAATACACATGCAGAAAGAAGACACCGTCGGCAAGAATAATGGGCAGGGTGTTAGGGCACAAGGATGCTGGTTCTAGCTTCTCCTCTAAGTATGTTATCACTTAGAGCAAGTCCCATGACTCCACTGGGGATCTGTTGTCTAGGGTCCCTTCCAAATTCTACATTACAAAGTGATGCAGACCTGAAAGAGAAGGCTGTGACTGCTTTGGTGACTGCCTGGGTAACAAGGGACCAGATGGAGGGAGACACCAGGGAAGATGCCAGGGTTCTAGCCAGGATGGGTAAGTTGAGAAGAGGAGCAGGTTTGGAGGAAAGATGACCTTATTTTAAACATACAGGCATCTCGATTTATTGTGCTTCACAGATGTTGCTTTTTTTATAAATAGAAAATTTTACAAATTTTTGCAAATTGACTTCCTTCACCAGCAAAAAGATTACGACTCACTTTATTGGGATACTTGTTTTATTACTGTGGTCTGGAGCCAAATCTGCAACATCTCCAAGGTCTGCCTGTACTGAGTTTAAGATGAGAGTAACACATCTCAATGGAAACCAATGTCCAGGAGATGATTAGAAATGTGGGTCTTGATTCCGGGAACCATCTGCAGGGCAATGATTGGAAGCCATGAGAGGGTGCCACCAAATCTTCAATGTGACTCTCAATGATCTGCCTCTGAGGTCCTATGAGCTAGAATGGGATCCTGAGGGTTGGGAGCAATGTAAGAAAAAGACAGGATGGCGAAAGTAAGCACTGGAACCAATAGAAATGGGAGCTTGTAGCTGCCCTGAGAGGTGTGGGGACCAGCACACAGGGAGACTTGAAGGAATGGTCCTAGGAGATATCGGTTTCAAAGTTGCTGCCAGTGGAAGGTTGCAGCTTTGCCCCTGGCCTCAGCATCAGTTGTAGGCCCTGGCCCTGGCAGGAAGCCAACCCACTTCCCCTCTAGGTTGCCCGGTCTACTGCTGTGGGCTTGCTTTCTCTTCTCTCCCTTCGGGAGGCCTCTGGCAGCCTGAGGGGTCATCCCAGCCATCTCATCACTGCCCAGTTGTCACCCATTCCTTTGCCTGCCTCCTTAAGTTTAAAAGTCTGTTATATTTTAAGTGTGTCAAGTCAGAAATGTTGGCTTTGAAATACAATTGCAGTATGTTGCGTATCATTTAGTCCTGTAATTAGGGGCTAAGACCTAGGGGCTGACATGAATGTTTGTGAAATCTCAGATAAATCAGTGGCTTTGGGTTCAATGGTGAGGGTAATTCCTGGGTTCACTGGGGAGGCCTGAGGTGTTGGGCAAGCAGGCTGCGATGGAGACTAAGGTTAGAGAGAATGCAGTGGTGGCTGTTGTGGTGGTATTGGTAGATAGCCACAAATTTCCAAAGCAATTGGAATTCCTGCGATCAAACAGGTAAGCCCCTGGGGCACTAGTACAATATCTATTTTATAGCCTCTCCAAGATTGGGAATTTCCGAGGGTCTAGTGCCAATGGGAAATCTTGTCTATACTAAGCAACTAACTCATTCAGTTAACTATCACTGACTGAGCAATGAGCTCATGTGCCCAGGGCCAGGACAGCCAGGGGACACTAGCAGTAAGGAACATTTTGTGTCTAACCGTCCGTCAGAAGATGCATATTGGGAGGGGGAAAAGGGGAATTGCCACGACTGGTGCAGGAAGGGAGGGATCCTGAGAGGGAGTGACAGGAGATTAAAAAATATAGAGACATGTAAGACAGCTAAAGCCGGGGCTGGGTGGGACACTGCCCTCGGATGGAGAGACAGTGACCCCGAGCAAGCTCAGAGTCTTTATTATATACATCAAGGTAACAATTCTTCAAGGAAACTGCGGGTAGCTGAAAGGGTCAAAAACAATCCCTTGGCAAGCTTTCTCAGAACATACTGCTTTGCTGTGCCCAGAACAACATCTTGGGGGTTCTCTATTGTTATACGCTGCACCCACTGTGCCTGGAAGCTGGCACCTGACCGCTGCTCGGCCGATCACATATCCTAGCCTATGGCAGGACAAGTTGCACGCAAGCATAGCTCTGCTCAAGCCAGCGTCCGCCTGCTCAATGGGCAGGGGAACCTGTATCCAGGCATGGCTTTGCCTCTGCCCCGGACAAGGTCCCAGGGTCTTCAGGGCACAGCCTTGCTCCTGCCCGAGTCCCGGCCAGCTTCCAGGTTCAGCTGCTCTCCACAGGGAATATGAATTGGGCCTCAGGTCATGCAAACCCAGATGGGAATTCAAGCTTGTGGGGACTCTTGAGCAAAAGTCCACTCCTCCTCAAATGCACACATTTCCTTTTCCTTCCAACCCTTCCTACAGGTACAATCCTTCAGGTGCCAACCTCCTTGGACTCAAGGTCCAGTCCCCCTTTTTCTGGGTCTTGTTGCTTTTTCTCTCCTGAGTCTAATCCTAAACTGATCTTTTCCTTGAAAATGTCAACCTAATCACAAAGATTAAGCTGTACATGTGCCCCCTCCAGATCCTCTCCCTCCCCCAATTCCCCATAGGTTGAGGTTTTGCCTCATTTCCCACGTACTCTTCCACCCAAGCTATTTTCAAGTTTTATTCGTTCTTAGCTATGTCTAGTTTTGTCCTGAAGACCATTTTTTATTTCAGTTCCTCCAGGCACTAGGCCAAATGACCCATTCAAGGCTGATAAAGTCTCACTGACCTAGGCACAGGAAGTTCTGGGAGGTGAAGGACATTTCTGGATGGTTCTAAAACAAATCCTTTTCCTCTTGTCCTTGACCCAGGACAGCCTACTGAGTTCACAGTCTGACACAATACGGAATAGAGGAAAGTGAATCAGTGACACTGTCTCTGACCAGTTGTGGAAACTTGGTCAAGTCAATTACCTTCTGGGCCTCAGTTTCCCTCTTGATAAAATGATCTTGAAGGCACCCTTCAGCTCTGACAGTCTAGGAAACTTTGCACCTGGCTCAGCAGGTTTCAGGACGGCCTTGAAAATCTGAAGCACCTCATGTCACTGGCAATCTAGAAAGTCTGCTCTCCAGAGTCTAGTTCTATTCCAGTAGTAGTTCTAAGATCTGGCTGGAATTGAATCTGCTTCAAATTTCCAGGACACCTGAGGGACAATGGGGAGAACCCTTTGAGACCTGGACCCTCATTCTCCCAGAGCACAGCTGGGAGCAGACCGATCACTCAGAGGCACATGAGGAAGTACATTCTGGGGTTTCAAGGTTATGTGGAGGGGACATGGGCTTGGGATCCTAAATAGAAAACTTCTGGGAAATACTGGGTGGGGGCTAGGGGT